GATTCTGGTTATCTCAGGCCAGCTAGACCCATGACAATTTCACACAGGGCTCTTTTAGAGCATTTTGGCCAATTATGGTTTGGCCACACATCTGTTTTTGCCACAGACTGCTTATTTTTTTTATAAAGATTTTATTTATTTATTTGCCAGAGAAAGAGGGACAGCTAGAGAGGGAACGAAAGCAGGGGGAGCGGGAGAGGGAGAAGCAGGCTCCTGGCTGAGCAGGAAGCCCGATGCAGGACTTGATCCTAGGACCCTGGGATCATGACCTGAGCTGAAGGCAGACGCTTAACGACTGAGCCACCCAGGCACCCTATAGACTGATTTTTTTTTTTTAAAGATTTTACTTTTTTATTTTAGAGAGAGAGACAGAGAGAGCGAGAACATGAACAAGGGGAGGGGCAGAGGGAAAAGGAGAGACTCTCAAGCAGACTCCATGCTGAGCTCAAGGACCGGCAGGGTGCTCAATCCCACAACCTTGAGATCATGACCTGAGCTGAAACCAAGAGTGTGACCCTTAACGGACTGAGCCACCGAGGCACCCCAGCCATAGCTTGCTTATTGCTGAGGTGATATCTGAATACATTTTATGGGCCCTAAAATGCTCATTGTCCCTAGGACATTATATGGGAAGTAGTCATCCTCAATTCTATTGTAGTTTGCATATGCCAGTGAGTTTCTCATAAGTACACACTGTGGCCATTGGGGCTATTATTACTAAGCATATAAGCCCACATATTCTCTGACACTATTTGGCAAGTATTGTTTTCCTTGGTTCTTGTCCTCTATCCACAACACATGGGCTATAACCATTAGGGCACATGCTACTGCAAGCCAGACACACAGATGATTTTATATCTAGTGTATCTGGGCACATTTTTCAGTGGCTTCTCCCCCTGGTCAGCAGGGAGCCTGTTTCTCCCTCTCCCTCTGCAGCTCCCCCTGCTCGTGCTCTCTCTCACTCTCTCTGTCAAATAAATAAATAAAATCTTCAAACAAACAAACAAAAAAGAATCACCTGGATCAGAGGCATAGTTAAGACAAGCTTTAGTATCATACTGGATCACCACCCATAACTCTTCAGCTGTAGTAGCTTCTCTGTTGCCTTCACTTTCCCTAGAACAAAGAAAAGTAGCCAAGACTGTGTATTCTTGAATGACTTTCCCTAAGTTTCAAAATCTTTTGACATTCATTTATTTTAATCTCCCCAGTCCTGCACCTACTGAACCTAGGTCCTATTTTTATACTTTCCTTCTCAAGCCTGTAGTCCTTGAACAACCACAAACCAGAAATGGCCAGAAGCCATCCAGATAGCAACAGTGGTTCCTCACCCACCACCCAGTACTGCCCATTTTTCCTTCTCCCTAATACTACCTTCTCATTATTATTTAAAGTAGAGTTGAGGATCATATGAATTAACCTCTCTGTATCACAAACTGCAAAAATTTCACGTGTGTGGATAATTGAAAAGACTCACAAGTCTTCAGAGCATCCGGATGTGAGGTTTTTCTTAAAAGGTCCTGGAGGGGATGGGGGTGGGGGATGGGTATTAATGAGGGCACTTGTGATGAGCACTGGATGTCCTATGTAAGTGATGAATCACTAAATTCTACACCTGAGACTGAAAAAGAGAGAGAGAGAGAAGCCTATGGGGAGGGGGGAATGTAAAGGACATACTGTAGCAAAATAAAGGGACCATGGGTCACCCAGGCACAGCTTTGCAGAGTCCTTATTTGTGCATGGATAATATTCATCTTCAAATGAAGGATAATTTGAGTCAGAATTCCCAGCAAGGATTTTATCCCTTCTGCTAAAAGTCAAATTAGGATACCTAATCAATTATGCCATTTTGAAAACCGTCAGTAAACAAACTGGCCGTGGGTGCCCCCATGGGAGCTTTGGACTTTAAACAGCACATAATAAGTCCCACCACCCTATCTCAACAAAGACTCAGAGCCAGATATCCAGAGTTCCTAGACCTAAGACTGAAGTCTTCCAGTCCAAGCAAATGAACTCTACCTTATGCAAAAAATTACACAACACATTAAAATTTCTGAGATGTTGCTAAACCAGTTCTCTCTAGAGGAAGCTATTCTGCTAAAGGTTTTTTTTTTTTTTTTAAAGGTTTTATTTATTTATTTGACAGAGACAGCGAGAGAGGGAACACAAGGAGGGGGAGTGGGAGAGGGAGAAGCAGGCTTCCCGCCGAGCACGGATCCTGATGCGGGGCTCGATCCCGGGCTCGATCCCAGGGCCCTGGGATCATGACCTAGGCCGAAGGCAGTCGCTTAACCAACTGAGCCACCCAGGCACCTCTCTGCTAAAGGTTTTAGCTAGGGCAGTGAAGGAAGGAAAAGGGACACAAAGTAACTTCCGATCCAGGACGTGGAGGGGGAACTTGAAGGGGCATCACTGCACTATAAGGAAAAAGAGCTTAGTTTGCACCAAATCTGTGATGGAGGGCTGGGATGAGCTTTCCCAGGACTGCAGGGTTACCATTTTGCAGAACTGAGACCTTCAGCCAAGGTCGCCCTGCCCCACCCTGCTCAGTTCACACAAAACTGGCACAGGCAAGGGTCGTGCCGCAAGCCCTCCCTCACCCAGACCCCCACCTGCGTGGTCCCTGTTTGAGGGAGGGTGGTTTCATGGGCTCTTCGCCTTCCTAGCTCCCACTTCTAGGTCTGGGGACCTTGAGGGCTCTCCTCAGCCTGGATTCTTGAATCCTGAATCCAGTCCGGGGCTTATATGATAAAGTCCACATTTCCGGCAACCAACACAATGTGAAGCCAAAGATTGTCCCTGGGATGGGAAACAGTGTCTGCAAATGCTTGGAGATGAGGCTGAGTTGATAGTGTTCAGGGAATCACAAGTCTGCTTTATATCTGGTGGGAATGGAGAGGGCAGTGGGGGGCAGTATTCAGTACTGGAACTACTGGCTGAGCAGTTCGGCCTCTGTTCTGAGGGTCTGGGGAGCCACAGATTTGGAACAGAAAAGAGAGGTGATCTGACTCATCATTAACAAGTCCTCTGGGGAATTCAGAGTGGAGAACCGATTGTGGGGGTGAGGAAGGAGAAAATTGCAGTAGTCTGAAACACTGCTGAATGTGGCTGGACCAGAAGAGTGGCCATGGAAGTGGCGGAGGTGGTTGGATTCTAGATCTCTGGGAGCTGGATGACTGCGGGGTTTTGGCCTTAGCACCTGCAAGGATGGAAAAACCATCATCTGAGATGGGGTTGGGGATAGGATTCACTTTCTGGAGCAATACTCAACCAGTGGTATGAGAAAATGAAAGATTACCTGGCCACACGAACAAGTGTGTTCAGATGCTTAGTGATGACAATGAGCTGGGTGTTCAGGGAATGAACTGTAGGTCTCTATTATGTCTGCTGGGCACAGAAAACTGAGGGATGGGGGCAGAAGTCAGTCCTGGAATGGCAGCCTGAGGTAATCAGGAGACTCCAGGGGAAGCTACTACAACAGTACAGGGGAGTGTTGATGGTAGCTGGATCATAAGAATGGCTTTGAAGTTGGGAGAAGAGGTTGGTTTCTCAATCTGTTTTATTAGCAGGGACAATTTTCTGCTATGTGGGATGAGAGAACAAAGTCAGTTATGACCCCAAGATGTTTGGCCTTCGCAGTTGAAGCGTGGAAGCACTGGGTACTGAGATGGAAAGTCAGTAGTGGGAGTACTTAACAGAAGCACCATATGGAGTTAGGTTTTTCCCATGTTGGGTCTGAGATACTCTGGGGACCCCTGAGAGGAGGTGTCAGGTTGGCAGTTAGAAACACATGTGGAATTTAAAGGAGGGATTGAGATTGACGATATCTGTGAGTAGGTGGGCGGCATGTGGAATATGTCGTACTTCAGAGGAGGCCTCTTCAGGTTATGGTGGCAGTGCGGAAGAATGGGGACGGTATTCTCCGAGGACTGGGTGTCTTGCTTGGGCACCCGGATAGTGGTGGCAGTCTTCATTAACAGAAGCTGGAGAGTACTGACCATGGCTGTGTGGTAGTGAGAGGGGAGAGCGCTGGCTGCTGGCACAGGCTTCCAAGGGGACGAAGTTATGACATCTGTTCAGAGTCAAGGCAGTAATGGGAGTCAGATGATGCAGAGCCCAGGATTGGTGTTTTTTCTTCCATCTCCAGGCCCAGGTTTTTTTTTGGCAGGGTAACTCTTGATGGAGCCAGAGGAATTTCAGACAAGCTGACAGATTAGTTTGGGAGCAAATGATACTTGCTGGGAGAGTCATTGGCATGTGATGGGAGCAGATGAGGCTGACGTTGAATGAGTGTAGGTGGCAAGAAAAGATATTATTAGGGTAGGTATAGCACAGGCAACACTGAAAAGGAAGAGGGGTTTAAGCTACCTGAGATCCATGGAAGGTCTGGATGGCTGAAGATGCAACAAGGAGCCAGGCCTGCTGGGGTGGTCCTCAGAGCAGTGCTGGGACTGCCTCTGGCAGGAGGGTCCATCAGAGGCCTGGGGTAGCCCTGGATGTGTTGCATTTGGCAAGCACTGCCCTGGTGCCACATGCAGAGTGTGGGGAAGCCAGAGAGATGCCTGTGACATGGGCTAGAAAGTGGCTGTGGTGTTGGGGATCTAGCAGCCATGATATGAAGGTAGAGCAGGTGCAGTCCCAAGAGTGATGTGCAAATGGGGACAGAGTATGAATGGATTACAGGGTCTTTGTACTCAGCATTTGAGCAGAGGGTGAGCACAAGTTTGGTTGTATGTGGCACGATCTGAGGAACTCCAGGGCAGTTGACTGTCAGGAGAGTGGTGGCACTTTATATGCCAGGTCTAGAAAGTAGATGACACAATCTCTTTTCCCATCAGTTCTTACTGATGACTGGCAACTGTGAGGAGTTTGATGTGAGGAAGAGCGGGTACCAGTGGAGCAGGACCTGGTATTTCCTCTGAGTTGGGGAGCTGGGGAGGAGAGCCATGGCCTGGGGTTCTTGGTTAGAGAGGCTACTTATGCATTGCTCTGCCCTCATCATGACAGGGCATGTGACCTTTGAGGATGTGGCTGTGTACTTCTCCCAGGAGGAGTGGGCGCTCCTTGACGAGGCTCAGAGACACCTGTACCACACCGTGATGCTGGAGAACTTGGCACTGGTAGCCTCCCTGGGTAAGGACCCTCATTCCCACACCATTGCCTTATATGAGGCTCTGCTCTTCTCCTTTTTCCAAGGGTCTCTGTCCTTCCCAGAGCTGGGCCATGGGCATTGCTTCCTTTCCTGGTTTCTTGGCATAGGTGTTGTGTTTGCTGGGCCTGGGCTTTATGAAACCCCAACATATTCTGTCTTGAAGCCTCTCACAGAAGGGTTTGGTTTCTGAGTATTGTAGCCTGTCCTGCCAGTGCATTTAGCTTTGCACCTCCTTGTAAGGTGACTGTTCACATCACAATTTCTGCTCCTGCCTTTTTTAGATATTGCTTGGACCTTGCCTGTCTCAGGAATTACAGGCACTTAAGTGGTCATGATCGGCACAGAGCACTAGGCTGTTACAGTAAGCCTCCCCTTCAAGGTTCTTTGTGTGATCAGTTTTGTTCAGTGGTGTCACGGGTTGAGACACCCTGGGCTAGTGTTGTCTACTCAACTGCTGTGTTTTTCCCTTCGAACTTCCATCTTCTAGGTCCCATTTAGTCACCCAACTTGAGCCAGGGGCTAGAGGGGAGCTCTGGGTGCCTGGCAGGATGGACAAATCTCCAAAGATTAATGGAGTCCTGGGTCTGGACTGTGGAGAAGGTATGATTTCAGGACGGAGTACAAATCATACCAGGCAAATGTCCTTTGCATTTTCCTGAGTGCCAATAAGATTATTTTTTTAAAGATTTTATTTATTTATTTGAGAGAGAGAGCATGAGAGGGGGGAGGGTCAGAGGGAGAAGCAGACTCCCTGCTGAGCAGGGACCCCGATGTGGGACTTGATCCCGGGACTCCAGGATCATGACCTGAGCCGAAGGCAGTCGCTTAACCAACTGAGCCACCCAGGCGCCCGCCAATAAGATTATTTTTAAAAAATTATTGTTTGCCTTTTGTAATTCTAATCTAAAGTGGCATGCAAGAGCTTTGCAGTCTCTGGTTTTAAATCTTTCTCTTGTTAATTTGTAGGACTTATTAAATGTATTATTTATATATTAACTCTAAAAATTATAGATGAGGGCGCCTGGGTGGCTCAGATGGTTAAGCGTCTGCCTTCGGCTCAGGTCATGGTCCCAGGGTCCTGGGATCGAGTCCCGCATCGGGCTCCCTGCTCCTTGGGAGCCTGCTTCTCCCTCTACCTCTCTCTTTCTCTCTCTGTCTCTCATGAATAAATAAATAAAATCTTTAAAAAAAAAATAAAAATTATAGATGACTCAATATTTTCTCACTTGTGTTCTTGTTATTTTAATTTTTATGGGTTTTTTGATAATAGAAACCTGTTATTTTCATATAGTTTGTGTATTTGGTTTTTTTAAAGATTTTATTTATTTTTTATAGATTTTATTTATTTATTACTCTGTATTTGACAGAGAGAGACACAGTGAGGGAGGGAACACAAGCAGGGGGAGTGGGAGAGGGAGAAGCAGGCTTCCCGCTGAGCAAGGAGCCCAATGTGGGGCTCGATCCTAGGACCCTGGGATCATGACCTGAGCCAAAGGTAGATGCTTAACAACTGAGCCACCCAGGTGCCCCTGTGTATAAGTTTTGATAATTTTTATATTTGGCTTGAGAGATCCTGTTCTATCATTTCACAAATATATTTTCTTCCACGATCTTGTAAGAGTTACGTATTTTTTTATTCCTGTTAAGCCTTCTTTATCTGAAATTAATTTTTCTGTATGATTAAGAGCAGAGATGAAAATCTGAGTTTAACCAGTTGGACACCCTGTTTCCCCTGAACAATTTTTTTAAGCAGCCATTTTCCAATGTTCTGTAGCACCAACATAGCCCAGTCTTGCAGGAGGAATCTAAATATGTGAGTGCTTTTTTGTAACCTTTATAATTTACTCTGCTAGGTTTGAACTTGAATTCCATGCCATTATGCCAATAAGACACTGTTTTCTTATTTTAAATTTATGGCTTGCATTAATCTTTTATAGAAAATTACTACAAACTTTTATATTAAAATAATTTTTGTATCTTCTTTTAAAAAAATTTTATTTATTTATTTGAGAGAGAAAGAGCAAGAGAGAGAGCATGAGCGGGGGGAGGGGGACAGGGAGAGGGAGAGGGAGAAGCAGACTTCCCACTGAAAAGGGAGCCCAATGCAGGACTCAATCCCAGGACCCTGGAATCATGACCTGAGCTGAAGGCAGATGCTTAACCAACTGAGCCAGGTAGGCTCCCCTGGAGAATTCGTTTGATGGGGAAGTTCATGTCCCCCTTTTTTAAGATTTTATTTATTTATTTGACAGAGAGAGCGAGAGAGCACAAGCAGGGAGAACACTAGAGGGAGAGGGAGAAGCAGGCTCCCCATGGAGCAGGGAACCTGATGTGGGACTCGATCCCAGGACCCTGAGATCATGACCTGAGCCGAAGGTAGACACTTAACCATCTAAGCCACCCAGGCGCCCCCATGTCCCCCTTTCTAAGAGCAGGAGTTACTTAATTCGGATCCTCCCTTTATTGCCCAACGCTCTATGATTATGGGAATATCATGATCTTTTATTGTCTTTATATTTCTGAAGTCTTTAAGGGCTGGATGATCAGTAACCACAGCAATTTCAGATTTATAAGATTCTAATGTGGGCTTTTATATGAGCAAATTTTATTAATTCCCATACTACATCTTCTTACCTAAGTGTTTTCAATTTAAATTTATTTTTTTAAAGATTTTATTTATTTATTCATGAGAGACAGAGAGAGAGAGGCAGAGGGAGAAGCAGGCTCCCAAGGAGCAGGGAGCGTGATGCGCGCCTCGATCCCAGGACTCTGGGATCATGACCTGAGCCGAAGGCAGACGCTTAACCATCGGAGCCACCTAGGTGCCCCGATTTAAATTTATTTTTTAAAAAAGATTTAAATTTATTTTATGATGTCTCTTCCAAAAGATCACAAATCTTTCCTTTTTTGTTAGTTTACTTCACTGTCCTAGGTCTATTACATATTTTTTTTTTTAAGTAGGCTCCATGCCCAGCTCAGAGCCCAACAGGTAGCTTAAACTCACAACTCATAAATCAAGACCTGAGCTGAGATCAAGAGTTGGATGCTTAACTGACTGAGCCACCCAGGCGCCTCTCTGTTACATATTTTTATTCTGTTATGTCCCAGATTTCTCTTTTCAATATTAAGTGATGTTTTAAAAATTATAAAAATTTAAATTTAATAACTATAAACTTCAGTTTTTTTAAGAAATCAATTCTGTATAAATGTCAGATGGATATCCACTCTGACACCCCCTCCTCTGCTCCTTCCCTAGCCCAGACAGGTAACCCTGCTTTACCTGCTGAAGATCCTTCTAAACCAATCTATGTTCAGTCACTAACTTCTAAATCACATCTGCTGATTTACAGCTAAGTGAATTCACCTTCACACACATATATATGAAAATTAATAACTGAAACCTCACTAAAATGTAGTGAGGAGGTTTCGGCAAGGGGAGTTCTTATGCACTACCACTTAGAGTCCATTGCAGACCCAACAGGAAGAGATATACTTGATCTAACAGATGGATGCTACTTTACTATCCCAGCTGGAGAAAGAAAACTTTGCTTATTCCCCAACTCAACAACTCAGCCAATGAGAAGCCACTCTACTTCGAACTCCCAGTTTATTCCAATGGACTTTTAGTTTATAACAGCCTTCCCAACTTACCTCTTTTCTCCATAAAAGTGGGTACCTCTCCTTTGTCCTTTACCTAAGGTTTTGCGTAGTTGGTTCGTCCTGGATTACAATTCTCTTTTATCCCGAAATAGGCCCATCTTTGGCTGGTGAACTAACTGGAAGTTTTATTTTAAGGTTAACAGGTTTTATTGACTCTAATTTGATGTGTGTGGTTTTTTTTAAAGATTTTATTTATTTATTTATTTGACAGAGAGACACAGCGAGAGAGGGAACACAAGCAGGGGGAGTGGGAGAGGGAGAAGCGGGCTTCCCGCGGAGCAGGGAGCCCGATGCGGGGCTCGATGCGGGGCTCGATGCGGGGCTCGATCCCAGGACCCTGGGACCATGACCTGAGGCGAAGGCAGACGCCTAACGACTGAGCCACCCAGGCGCCCCTGATGTGGTTTTAATTTGTTCTTTCATAGGGGCCACCGATCCTCAATGTGCAGACGGGTGGGAGAGGCTCTTACACCCCGAGGCACGGCTGAGAGGAACTACGTTACCCAGAAGACTGTGCTCCCAGCTTCCGGATCACGCTGACCAATGAGGGCGCACGCCGGGGCGTTCCCAAGAGGCCGAAAGGCCAGGGGCGGGGCTTCCCTCCTGTGCCTCGTGGATGCCGTGCTTCTTGGGCTCGTAGCCCTGCGTCCGCCGAAGGGAACTGGAACCTAGAGGAGCAGAAGAGGGCACGTGTGCTCTGCACGGAGCGGGTCTGAGGTTCGGCGCGAGCACGGCTGCGGGGAGCCGCCTTCGGGGCCTCCTGCCGGTCTCCGCCATTATCACGCGTCCCCTGGCCCGGTCGAGCCCGCCGATGACTATGGTGACGGCCGGGCCAAGGTACCCGGCGCAGGTGAGAGAGTGTGTTCTGCCCCGGACCCAAGGGGGTGGGTCTCCTGCTCAGGACCTTGCAGTCCAGGCCCAGGTCCCCAGAACCTGGCGCGTTCGTGGGCGGGGCCGCACCTCGGGCCCCCCGTGGGAGGCGTGTGGGTGGCACCAGCACGTGCGAAGCCGTGGGGGCGCGCGTGAGCCGGGAGCCTTCGGGAGAGCGGGGGTCCGACTCCAGTCGGCAGGGAGCCGCCGGGCGGTCGGGGTGAGGGCTCTGGGGGCCTTGGAGGGTCGTGAGTGGAAGAGGGACGCGGGCTGGGTTGGAGCTCTACAGTCTTTCCAGGCTGCTCAGGGGAGCCAGGGCGACCGCTGCGAGACTCGAAACAGTCGTGCTGGGGTCTGGACCTCTAGAGCAGCGGCTAGGAGGAATGTAACAGTAAGCTTCCTGATGATCTTAGACGTAGAACCGGAAGGATTTCCTGCTGCAGCGAGGGTGGCTGTGAGCAAAAGGACACGACCAAAGACTATGCAGTCTGTCTTTTGCCTGAATATCTGGACGCGCTGAGACGAGGAAACTGGTGTGAGGAGCAGGTTTCAGGGAGAGCTTACGAGTTGGATTTTGGACTTACTGTTTCCGAGCTCCCAAAGTAGAGGTGACATACAGGCGGCTGGAATCTCTGCTCTGGACTCAGCGGAGGCTGGCTCCGTGATGTCCATATAGTAGTAGCCTAAGTCCTGGACCAGGACCAAGCCTGGATCTCAGATTTAGGATGGAAAGATCTGAACACTTCTCTGAGATAGGCCCCGAGGTGAAGGAAGAGAGGGCTGGGGCTGGAGGGCAGGCAAGAGTGCCTACAGATGGGAGGGTCCTGTGGTCCAGGGCTTTAAGGTGGTGGGGGAGAGGAAGGTGTAATGAGTCAGGAGCCCTGCTGGGATGGGAGATGGAGGGGTGAGGGCACGTGAGAGTCTCTGCTCTGAAGACTCAGCCGACTGTCTACTCCCTGTGGAGCCAGGGAAGGCCCAGCCTGGCTGGTGGAGGAGCCCAGGTTCATGAACGTCTCACAGGTGCCTCAGCTCTCGCAGGAAGTACAAGTTCAGAACAGTATGACTTTAGTCAGTTAAACTTATGCAAGCAAGCAATAATTGATTGGAATAGCAGTATACCTCTGTAACAGAATGTGTGTGTATATAATATATTTGGATTTTTGTCTGGACTCTTGCCATAGATCTCCTAAAACCCTTGGAATTTCCTGGGTGTTAGGCGTGGTTTTTGTTATCATAACTGTCTCCTTTCATCCCACAGGAGTTATTCTAATGAAGTGACTTGGGGTGGGGCTTCTAGATAGCCTCAAGTTGGGGCTGGTCACCAGAAAGACCAGGTGATTAGAAGTTTAAACTCTCAGGGTGCCTGGCGGTCTCAGATGGAAGAGCGTGAGACTCTTGATCTTGGGGTCGTGAGTTTGAGCCCCACATTGGGTATAGAGATTACTTAAAAATGAATAAAATGGTCTTTTTTGTTTTTTTTGTTTTGTTTTGTTTTAAAGACACTTCAACTTTTAGCAACCCCCCCACCTCCCAGATGGGAGAGGAGCTGGAGGTATAAAAATTGTTGAGCTGTGAGATTCAGGGAGCCTCCAGGATGGTGAACACATTGAAATAAAAGAAGTGCAGGGAGGTTGTGCTCACTGGCCCTGATCCCTATCCCCATGGTACTGGCACATAGATAAAAGAGATAGTGACATCCTCAGGCCCTTTGTTCTGAGCCCTGGGGTCATCTTAGGTGCAGGGTCCTTAATCAAGGCCAGAAGTTCTGTTGAGGTGTCCCATTTCTCTAGTCCATAAGGGGAACCAGCATGTCCACATGGGAGTGTTCAGTGAACTGCAGGACTACATTAAATCTGCTGGGAACAGAGATTGAGGGGCAAGAGCCAGTCCTCAAGTAGCAGCTTGAGGAATTGGGTCTGCTGAGGGCAGTAGGTCCATGGAAGGTTTGGAGCAGAGAAGGGAAGTGATCTGACTCAGGTCTAATCAGACTACTTTGCCTGCAGAGTGGAGGACAGATTGTGGGGGTGAGGTTGGAGGCAGAGACCCCAGTGGAGGCTGCAATTTTGGCAAAGGTTAATGGTAGCTGGATCATAGCACTGGCTCCATAGTTGGAGAAGACTGTTTTGTTTCTAGGTTATTTTGTAAGTAGGGATGATTTTCCGTTTATTTTGTAAGTAGGGATGATTTTCCGCTGTACAGGGTGAGAGAGAATCTAGGATTACTCCAGGATGTTTGGCTTTAGCTGGAAGTGTGGAAGTGCTGTTGCTGAGATGGAATGTCCGTAGCAGGAGTACTTAACAGCAGCACTCTGAGGAGTTAGGTTTTTGCCATGTTGTGTCAGAGATATTGCAGGGACCTTTGAGTGGAGGTGGCAAGTGGGCATCTAGAAGCAAACATCTAGATTTCAGGGAAGGGGTTCAGGTTTGAAGACACCCCTCAGCGATGGCAGGCATGTAGACCATGTCTCATTTAAGAGGGTGCACTCTGCAGATCATGGTGGCAATGCCATTACAGGGGAAGGATGGGGAGGTTATTCTCCATGGACTAGCTCACTTGCTTGGGCACCTGGATAGGGATGGCTGTCATTACTAAGACATGAGGAAGTACAGTGACCATGAGTGTGTGTGTGTGGGGGTCGCATGAGGCAACAGGCCTCAGGTGGGAGTCCACGTGGTGGCACAGGATTCCCAGGGGCTGGATGCAAGATTTACCGAAAGGCAGAGCAGTAATGGAGATCAGATGACACTGTGTAAGGCGTGGTACTTTTCTCCCTCCGCAGGTTCAGTTTTGTGACAGCTCTTGCTGGAACCTGAAGCGTGTCAGATGGGATGACAGATTAGCTTAAGAGAAAAGGAGGTCAGCTGAGAGTCTCTTGGGCTGCGGTAGGAGAAGTGGGGCTGGGCTTTGATTGAGAGGAGGTGGAGAGAGGAAGGGTGTGACTGGTGTGGGGACAGCACAAGCAACACTGAGGAGGAGGGTTTGGGGGGTCCGACTCCTACACAGGCTAGGGTGGCTGAAGTTGGAAGACAGAGCCAGACCAGGTGGGGCAGTCCTCAGTGCTAGGACTGCCTCTGGGAGGAGGGTCCATCAGAGGCCCTGGGGTAGCCCTGGATCCTGTTGCATTTGGCAAACACTGCCTGGGTGCCACATGCAGAGTGACATATGGGGAAACTAGAGAGATGGCCTGGGACAAGGACCAGAGGTGGCAGTGATGTCACGGATGAGTGGTCGTGGCCTGGCACATGAGAGAGGAGTGATCCCATTGTGTTGTGCAAATGCGGAGGGAGTGTGAGGATGCACTCAGTGTCCTTGTACTCAGGGCTTAAGCCAGAAGGCTGAACATAAGTGACATACGGGGCATGATCAGTATGATCCCAGGAGAGCTGACTGTGAAGAGAGTGCCAGGGACTCTCTACACCAGCCTAGAGCATAGGTAAGACTGCCTCTCTCCCCATCTGTTCCTACTGATGACTGGCAACAGTGAGGAGTTTGACGTGAGGAAGAGCGGGTACCAGCGGAGCAGGACCTGGTATCTCCTCTGAGTTGGGGAGCTGGGGAGGAGGGCCATGGCCCGAGGGTCTTGGTTAGAGAGGCTACTTATGCATTGCTCTGCCCTCATCATGACAGGGCCATGTGACCTTTGAGGATGTGGCTGTGTACTTCTCCCAGGAGGAGTGGGCGCTCCTTGACGAGGCTCAGAGACACCTGTACCACACCGTGATGCTGGAGAACTTGGCACTGATAGCCTCCCTGGGTAAGGACCCTCATTCCCACACCATTGCCTTATATGAGGCTCTGCTCTTCTCCTTTTACCAAGGGTCTTTGTCCTTCCCAGAGCTGGGCCATGGGCATTGCTTCCTTTCCTGGTTTCTTGGCATAGGTGTTGTGTTTGCTGGGCCTGGGCTTTATGAAACCCCAACATATTCTGTCTTGAAGCCTCTCACAGAAGGGTTTGGTTTCTGAGTCTTGGACCTGCCCGATCAATTCTGATTAGCTTTGCCCCTCCTTATTTTGTTGACTGTTCCCATTTGTGGAAGATCTGTGTCACAGGTTCTGCCCTCTTCTGTTTTGTGTACTGCCTGTGTCGGGAATTATAGACACCTACATGGTCAGTATTTGCAGGCTATCCCCTACATCTATGTCCCTCACATCTTTCCCCTTTCTTTCTCTCTGCAATGTTCTGCAGCATTAGCCTACACTGTGTGTCATGAGATGTGTGCACATAGCCCTAAATGGTGGACCACCAGCTAAAAGGCAGTTGCCTTTTTCTGGGGTGGGACACACATTCTACACAGCACACACTTGTCACCAGCAGACAAGGTCCTGCTGAGAACCCCTGGCAGAGGAGTGAGTTGTACCAGACCTCTCTTGCTGGCGCAGCAGTGTATCCGACTTTCTTGCTAGTTGTGAGGCCCCCATCCCCACAGACACTGTTCTGTAACCATCAGAGGCCAAGTGCTATACCGTGTCCCCTTCCTTCACCTGATCCTGGCTCCTTTGTCCTGAAAACAAACCCATGGACTCAGTCCTGTTTGTGTCCTACACACATTTGTAATGGGCTGTCCTGTCGCACCAAAGTCTATAATACACTTCACCAGCATTTTTCTGCTCTCAGGTTGTTGGCATGGGGTAAAAGCTGAGGAAGCTTTTTCTGAGCAGTGTGTTTTTATGGAAAGAGTGGCACAGGCCAGGACTCCAGACCCAGGCCTGTCTATCCCAAAGGCTCATTCCTGCATTGTGTGTGTCCTAGCGGAGAAAGGCGTCTTGTACCTTGCTGAGCACGAAGGAACATGTGCTGGACTGAAACCATGCACTTGTGGGCCTTGTGGAAAACTCTGCTCGTTTAGTTCTTACTTACACCAGCACCAGAAGCAGAACCATGGAGAGAAGGACCTTGGAAGGGAGGAGAACGGGGCTTTGTTCATGAAGAGCAAAGTCCTCATGTCAGACAATATTTTCACCTGTGGAGAGGTTGAGCATTATTCCCTGGGCAGCCTGGGCCTTCTCCAGCACCAGACCATCCCCAGTGGAGAGCATCCACACAGAGGCAGCGGGAGCAGGGCAGTTTCTCACACTCGGCGACGGCAGCACAGCACACATGGGCAAGCCTGCCACAAAAAGGTTAAATTCATGGGGCAGCAGAGCGCTCACACTGGAGAAAGCCTTCATAAGTGCAGTCAATGTGAAAAATCCTTCGTCTCCAAAAAAAGACTTCTTGAGCACCAGAGAATCCACACTGGAGGAAAGCCTCATGAGTGTAGCAAGTGTGGCAGGTTCTTTAAGTACAAATCTAGTCTTAACCAACACTGGAAAGTTCACACTGGAGAAAGGCCTCATAAGTGCAGTGACTGCGGGAAGTCCTTTATCTATAAAAGCAGACTTCTTGAGCACCAGAGAATCCATACTAGAGAAAGGCCTTATAAGTGCAGTGAATGTGGGAAGTCTTTCATCTATAAAAAGAGACTTCTTGAGCACCAGAGAATCCACACTGGAGAAAGGCTTTATAAGTGCAGTGAATGTGGGAAGTCTTTCTTCTACAAAAGAATACTTATAAGGCACCAGAGAATCCACACTGGAGGAAAGCCTCATGAGTGTAACGAATGTGGGAAATTCTTTAGACACAGACCCAACCTTATTCATCACCGGAAAGTTCACTCTAGAGAAAGGCCTTATAAATGCAGTGAATGTGGGAAGTCCTTCATCCATAAAAGGAGACTTCTTGAGCACCAGAGAATCCACACTGGAGAAAGGCCCTATAAGTGCAATGAATGTGAAAAGTCCTTCTTCTACAAAAGAATACTCCTTGAGCACCAGAGAATCCATACTGGAGAAAAGCCTTATGAGTGTAACGAATGTGGGAAGTTCTTGAGACACAAATCTAGCCTTAATCATCACTGGAAAGTTCACACTGGAGAAAGGCCTCATAAGTGCAGTGAATGTGGGAAGTCCTTCATCCATAAAAAGAGACTTCTTGAACACCAGAGAATGCACACTGGAGAAAGACTTTATAAATGCAGCGAATGTGAAAAGTCCTTTGTCTACAAAAGCAGACTTCTTGAGCACCAGAGAATTCACACTGGAGAAAAGCCTTATGAGTGCAGCCAATGTGGGAAGTTCTTCAGACACAGCTCCACCCTCCTTAAACACCAGAAAGTTCACAACGGAGAAGGCCATCTCAGCGTGGTAAATGTGGAAATCTTACATCCACAAAAAAAGATTTGCACCAGAGAATCTACATCAGAGAAAAGTTTTATGAATGCAGCAAGTGTGGGTAAACCTTCATAAAAAGGTTTGAATTCAGTGAGCACCAGAGAGTTCACCCTGGAGAAAAGCCATATGAATGTAATGAATGTGGGAAGTTCTTTAGACACTGATCATTGATCTGCTCACATTCAACACCAAAAAGTTCATGCTGGAGAGAGGCCTTGAATATGTGTAATGAATGTGGGATGTCCTCCATTTACAAAAGAAATCTTGAGCACAGAGAATCCAAACTGGAGGAAGAACCTTTGAGTATAATGAATGTGGGAAAGCCTTCAGCCTCAAGAATAGACTTGTTCAGCACCACAAAGTCCACACTGGAGAAAAGCCTATTTGCAGCAAATGTGGAAAGTATTTCAGTGGAAGATATTGCTTCATCAGGCGCCAGAAAGTTCACAGTAGAGAAAGTCCTTAGTAGTAGACAAACACCTTGTTGTTTAAGCCACGTTGAAGTGTGGAGGTTATGTGCACTTTGGGGGTAGGTTTAGGATAGAATTGTGGTTTGCCAGTGTGAAGGGGTGAACAGCTTTTGTGAGTCAGTGTCATGTCAGAGGCACAGTACAAGTCAGAAAATATTTCTTTTTTGTTTAAGATTTTATTGGGCGCCAGGGTGGCTCAGTTGGTTAAGTGACTGCCTTCGGCTCAGGTCATGATCCCGGAGTCCCGGGATCGAGTCCTGCATTGGGCTCTCTGCTCGGTGAGGAGCCTGCTTCTCCCTCTGACCCTCCCCCCCCATGTACTCTCTTTCTCTCATTCTCGCGCTCTCAAATAAATAAATCTTTAAAAAAAAAAAGATTTTATTTATTTGACAGACACAGCAAGAGAGGGAACACAAGCAGGGGGAGTGGCTTATAAGCGCAGCCAATGTGGGAAACAGGGTTCCCGCCGAGCAGGGAGTCCTATGCGGGGCTTGATCCAGGACCCTGGGATCATGATCTAAACCGAAGGCAGACGCTTAATGACTGAGCCACCCAGGCGCCCCAAGTCAGAAAATATTTCTTAGTCCTATTTTGGCTTCATTTGCATTGCTTCCTAAGGCATCCTGGGAAAGACTACAGGGCTTTGTAATTAGTATGTAGCAGTGCATTCCTGAGTCACAGTGTAGATGAATGTCTAACTTACTAAGGGATAATCTGATATGTTGGTATCAGTTTACATTCTCACCAGAAAAACCAGAACCAGAGTTCCAGTTTCTCTATATCCTTACTCACACCTGGTATGGTCAGGCTTCTTAATTTCAGTGGTGTAATAGGTGTGTAATGCACCTTGTGATTTTAATTTGTATTTCCCTAATGATGTGATGTTTAGATGTTTTTCATGTGTTAATTTCCAGCCATCATATCTTTTGAAATTTCTGTTCGTATAATTTGTCATCTTAATTACTGAGTTTTGACATTTGTCTGTGGATTGTTGATGAAAGTCTTCTATTTTAAATATTTGCCAGTATTTCTTCCAGTTATGTTTTGGTCTTTTCAATCATTTTTCTTGTGAAAAAATTTTAAAATTTTAATGAAGTTGAATTTGTCCATTCTTTCACTGAATATCCTTTTGATCTTGTGTACAAGAAATGTTTGTGAAAAAAAAAGTTTGCCAAATATAAAGACAATTTTTCCTATGTTTCTTTTTGCGAGTTTTTTTTAGTTTTTTTTACTGATGTTTATGTGCCTTTCTCAGTTAATTTTTGGACATTCTTTAAAAAAAAATATGGATGCCCAGGGGCACCTGGCTGGCTGTCAGTAGAGCATGTGACTCTTGATCTCCGGGTCATGAGTTTGGTCCCCACCCTGGGCATACAGAGTACTTAAAACAAAACAAAACGTGGATACCCAAGAGCTGCTGCCATATCGATTTAAAAGATTATTCCTTCTCCTTTGAATTGGCTTTTGTATCTTCATTGAAGGTCATTCATTTCTCTGAATGCTTATTTCTAGACTCTCTTCTGTTGCATTTATCTATTTTACTCTATACTTTCATGTGTTGAATAATTTGTTTTGAAATCAAGGTCATGTACTCCTACAACTGTTTTCTTTTTCAAAGTTGTAGTGGTCATTCTTGGTCCTTCACCTTTCCATATGAATTTTAGAATCCACTTGTCAGATGAACAGATAAAGATGATGTGGTATATATACAATGGAATACTACTCAGCCATCAAAAAATGAAATCTTGCCATTTGCAATGAACTAGAGGGATGGAACTAGAGGGTATTATGCTAAGCGAAATGAGTCAATCAGAGAAAGACAATTATCATATGATCTTACTCATATGTGGAATCTAAGAAACAAAGCAGAGGATCATAGGGGAAGAGAGGAAAAAATAAAACAAGACGAAATCAGAGAGGGAGATAAACCATAAGAGACTCTTAATCATAGGAAACAACCTGAGGGTTGCTGGAGGGGAGGGGGGTGGGGGGATGGGGTAACTGGGTGATGGACATTAAGGAGGGCATGCAATGTAATGAACACTGGGTATTATATAAGACCGATGAATCACTGACCTCTACCTCTGAAACCAATAATACATTATATGTTAATTGAATTTAAATTTAAAATACAAACAAAAAATAGAATCCATTTGTCTTTTTTAAGATTTTATTTTTAGGTCATCTGTATACCCAGTGTGGGTCTTGAATCTACAACCCTGAGATTAAGAGTCAGATGCTCCACCTACTGAGCCAGCCAGGTGCCCCTCTTAGCAATGTGTTTTAGTTTTCTTTTTATAGCCCTCACATACCTTACATATCTCCCAAGTATTTTCTACATCTGATGATATTATAAATGGTAATTTTTACCTCAAATTTCAATTTGCCAGTTCGGTCTTGTTACACTAAAAGAGATATTAAACTAAGGATAGAAGAAATCCTCCTTTATGTTATAAATGATGTCTACAAAGAAACTCTTACAAATATTATACCTTATTATTCATTATTAAAATTTTCCCATGTTATTAAAACAAAGGGAAGATAGCTGCTCCTTTCTCTTATTCATTTGTTCTGGAGTTCCAGTTTCATTCAGTAAGGCAAGATGATGGATATGTAATAGTTGGCAAGGAAAAAATAAACCACCTAAAATATTTCCTGTCTTGTCTTCACTATGAGTCCAAATATAGATACCCAGTTTACTGCCTCAACCCTTCCCAAACTCCCAACTTCTTCATTACCCATTCACTGTTCTTCATTTCTTAGGACACATAACCTTCTATTACACTATGCAACTTAATATAATTTATGAATTGCGTATTGCCTTTTCCATCAACTGTGGAGTAAGTTCCAGGAGGGAAATTTCTTTTTACATTTTGTGCACTGATATATTCCATGTTCCTAGAAATTTGCCTGAAACACATGAGGTACATAATTGATGTGTTTTTAAAAAAAATTTATTTATTTTAGAGAGAGAGCAGTGGGGAGGGGCAGAGGGAGAGAGAGAAACCCAGCAGACTCTGTGCTCAGCACAGAGCCCAATGCACACCTTGATCTCATGAACTTGAGATCATGACCTGAGCTGAAAATGAGTCAGAGGCTTAACTGAGTACACCACCCAGGCGCCCCCATAATTGATGTTTTAAAATGTTGAACAAAATAACAAAGCATATTTAACGTTTATTTGCCCTACTCTGGATATACTTTCTAACTCCACCCACAGTGTCTTTTCCTTCAGTTTCACTAACCTCAATATTTACAGTAGTGGCAAGAAATCCCATTTTGCAAAAAACCTTCAAATTCTCTGAAAAGCCCCAATAGGCATTTGGTTGGCTTACGTCCCTCACTTATTAGATCTCAGATTCCTTTCCTCACAGTCTATTGGGCTTTTGATTGTTTATTTCAAAAGCAAGTTTTCCCCTTTCAGTTAGTGCCACTCCTGATGGATATCTTACTAAGCACTTTTAATAGCTTTCATTGGTTTGCTCAGTCTGAAATATTTTTCAGTTAATATTTACTCCTCATGCAGACACTGTCACTGCACTTAAGGTGAAATGATAATCATTTCCCAGCAAGCAGATGAGACAATGGAATTCCAGAACTTTGTCTTGGTGTATATGTCCCCCTTCAGAGATGCTGCCATGGCAGTCCCTGTCCTGGGAGCAAACACAATTTGGGAAGTAGCTCTTCTTTTCAGGTATCCGATTCCTAGAAAATGTTTATCTCAGGAAACCCAGAATTAACTATTCTTTTTTTTTTAATAAGATTTTATTTATTTGACAGAGACACAGCGAGAGATGGAACACAAGCAGGGGGAGTGGGAGAGGGAGAAGCAGGCTTCCCGCGGAGCAGGGAGCCCGACGCGGGGCTCGATCCCAGGACCCTGGGATCATGACCTGAGTTGAAGGCAGATGCTTAACGACTGAGCCACCCAGGTGCCCCCCAGGATTAACTATTCTTAAAATAAATTTGTCTTCCTGAGGTTGGAATAAAAAAACACCATAGATAGATAGATGATAGATAGATAAAGACAAAACACAAACAGGGAAGACACAAATTTGCTGAGGAAACCAGAGGCATGTCACCAGTCTCGTCAAACTGCCTCAGGGCTGCCCGACATCTCGCGTCTCTCCTCAGTTATATTGTTTTGAAATTTCTCTCACTTGCTTCTCATGAAACACAGTGACCAGAGCAGCATTCACTCTATAAAGTCTTCAAGATACAGGGTTGTGAGTAACATAAAGAAGGTGAGCTCCCACTCTAGAGCAGACATCTAGTGTCTGGGTGATAGCTGCCGTTGGCGTGTGTGTATGTGCTTGTTGTTTTGGTGTTCTTTGTTTTGAGCAGGGGTATGTTGTGCTAAATGGAGTCTTCAGTGGCATGTCTTTAAATATCCTAGGTGGAAGGCTTCTAACCACATCTCTTAAACCACTGAAAGGCTCATTTATCTCCATATTATAAAATGTAGGTCTTAGTAAAGATGAATATAACAAAAAGGTGGTGATGTGTGGAAAACGGAATAATTAGGACTTAAAATCCCCAAATACAAATGTTACTCTGACATTTAACCAGATTTTCAAAGTGCCTGGATGTTCTCATTTTCATACT